TTTTTTTTTTTTTTTTTTTTTTTGGTGGAGTTGCCGGGGATTTAAACTGAATAAAAATATTTTCAAAGAAAATCTTTTCTACCAATTATTATAAATGCTGTCTACTCCTTAAATCCTTCCATGATCTCAATCTAAGTTAAATGTGTTTCCAGTCCCATTTTAAATACCCATAATTCCTTGCATCTCTTTATATTATACAAGTTTGTGTTCTATTTATGTGTGTACATTTTTATCTGTTGCCTAGACATTCATTGTACCTAAAGGAGCCTCAAAATATAAAGTGGCAAAAATCATCAGTTTTCTTGGGATTTTTGTTCATGCTAAGGATTGAACCCAGGAATGCTTTACCACTGAGCTACATCCACAGTCCTTTTTATTTTATTTTTTTGAGACAGGGTCTCACTGACTTGTTAAGACTGACATTGAACTTGGGATACTCCGACCTCAGCCTCCTTAGTCACTGGGATTACAGACATGTACCACCAAGGGAATTTGTTCCACTCCTCTGTCCCAGGAATTTATTAAGTCTGAAAGATGGCTCAGAAATCTTACTTTTTATTCAGTACAATATGGAATTCTATAAGTTACCGGTGAACATTTGCTAACTGGGTGATCTTAGGAAATCAAACTCCTTTTAGCCTATTTCTTCATTTGTAGAGATATTTTAAATTTATCTTAAAACTTGTTAAAATATAGCATGTATGAGCCTGGGCCTTGCCTGGACTTCTGAAAGCCTTGTATCATAAACTAGAGCTATATACACTTATTAAAATTTATGTCCAGAGAAGGGCACAGATTCAAGAATTCAGGCCTAGAATAATATTATGTGCAAGAGAGTATATTAAGACAGTCTCTACATCTAAAGATGTAGGGCAGGAAAAAACCCTGTAAGTTATTTACTGAATCAACAGTTTAGTAATGTGAACTTAAAAAACAAAAACACTGCTTTTACTAGAGTTTTTCCATTTAAATAGTCTTAGGTGTATTAGTGTCTTCTTCCTATATAAGCTAAGAAAATGGGGAAGCAGTAAAATGAACAATGAGAATTATCCAACACTGATAAAAAAAACTCACTTAACGTTATATTTCGCAATCCTGAAAAATTTTTGTTGTGCTGGGGATCTAACCCAGGGCCTTGTGCATGCAAGGCAAGCACTCTACCAACTGAACTATATCCTCAGCCCCCAATACTGTAAGTTTAAGATTAATAGTAATAATCATCAAATGTTTTAAAAGTGATTATTGGTACATACAGTATCAAATGGGAGGTTGGACTACACCCAACCTTTCTACTCTTGAATTCAATTCTAATAGGATTAGTATTGGCATTTGTAGGAGAAAGCTAGAGACCAGAACTTCAGAAGATACATTTTAGGGTTGCTTTGCTAGGGTTGCTTTGCTAAAGAATGCAAGATATTGAAGTACTCACACATTGGGTATGAAATAGTAGAGCCACTCTCGAAAATATTCTTGATGGTTTCTTATAAAATTTAACATGCACTTAAAATGCAACCCAGCATTTTGTACTCCTGGACATTTATCACTGAGAAATGACAATTTTGTTCAAATAAAAACCTGAACACAAAGCAGCTTCATTTGTAATAGTGTAATAGAGAGTGTGTTGTCAGCTGGCTTGTCTCACAAATTTAAATAATAAAATTCATGGACAGCAGAAGGTGAAAACAGTGGATGGCTATTGTGTAGGGGTTTATGTGGATTCTATAGATTTAAGAAAGGCAGCACCCTGCCCAATCCTGGGTAAGGCACTCAGTGTCCATAAGGCACTCATACAGCTTTTAGTCCAATCAAAATATTGATTGGGCATTTTTATTTCTTTGAAGAGGCTGTGACTCCAAGTCACATTTATCCCAATTTTATATGGTCCAACCTTTTTACAAGTTTCTTAGCAAAAAATTACAG